CAGCGGCCACCACGTGGTTCCGCACTTCTCCATTTGCCATTACCATCATTACCTGGGAACCGCGTCAGCGAGAGCCAAAGCACCTAGAAAATCCAGGTGTCAGGAGTTGAGAGGGGCTGCAATGGTCAGGAGTTTGGACTGGGAGCAGAGAGGTGCCTGTATCCTGGCTCTGACTCCAAAAGGTTGTCGCACAAAAGCGTGGCCACCACAACCGAGCGTCCTGCAGGACTCCTGCCTGCTCCCCCAGCACCAGAGGTTCTCTGGCAACAGCAGCAACTTCCCACTTTTACAGTCACTGCTAAATAGAAGCTAATTATTTTTTACAACTGTGTTGGAGGTATGCCGGGTGATTTCATATGACTGTTCTCAGCACACAAGTGCAGGAGACGATCCAGGGGCTGCAGTAACTTCCCTGAGGTCACACTGAGTCAGCTGCTTCATTACATCTAGGTCTCTTTAAATACGGACATTTCTGAAAGGTTTTTAACCATAGTAATTCTACAAGAAGAGACGCAGACAGGAATGTACACAGGCCTTTGGCAGAACTGGGCCTTATTCTGGAACCAAGTTTTTGTTAAAGCAACGTGTTACCAAAACAATGGATTCTGCCCCCTTTCTTAATAAATAAATAAATAAATAATCTTACCAGGCTCTGAAGCCTTAACAGTGGATGGCTGATGCCTGAGACCTCCCAGTTCACGACACTAGTGGGTTCAAAGTCATGGGGCCAGGGCCAGGCTGATGTCCAGCGGTGCCTGGAACAGTCTGCAGGACACGTGGGTGACGTCTTGCCCATTGGGGAGGCTCGGCCACGTGAGCAGGGCGAACACACGGTGCTGTGGGGCAAGCAGACATGCCACGCTGCTGTTGGCGTCACGGGGCAGGAGGCTGGCGCCACGTAACCGCTGCCAGGGGGGTGCAGGTGACTCGCACGTTGCTTCTTTCTCAGCAGTGAGTCAGTGCCAGAAGGTGCCTCAAAAGCAGGTTGGAGAGGGGTAGCTCTGCATGAAGAGAACAAAAACATGCTCTGCATGAAGAGAACATGCTCTGCATGAAGAGAACAAAAACATGCTCTGCATGAAGAGAACAAAAACGACCTATCCAGGGGCCAGGACTGTGTGCCAAGAGACCATTTCTGGGCCCCTCTCTGGAAAGGACACGGACACATTAAGTGTGCAGCAGATGGGAGCTGCACTGTGGCCATGGGGCACTACATATTGGCTATACATCTCTCTGCCTCAGCTTTTCCACGTCATGGATTTTCACAATCTCCTCTTCTCCGCTCTAAGAGGAGAAGTAAATTCTGTATCAATGGCAACCATGAGAAGCCTGTATAATTTTGCGTGAGTGTTTTTGAAGAGGGTGGCAAAGATACTCAGCCTTGAAGGATAAGAGCGTGTGGGCAGCGAGGTTTGCTTTGCTTTATCTTGGACAACACTGTTCCAGTGCCTGCTGTCTCAGCAGCTGCATTTTTGATCCCAGGGAGTTATGACTCAGTGTTTGCAAATCCCTGAGCCACCTGTTTGAAGGTATGTCCTGCAAAGCACGATTGCCTAAAACTGAAACGGTTATAAGTGAGTGTGAAAGGTTCAAGCACTCTGTTCTAGCACTCAGAACACGGCCCTTCTTTTCCAACCTGCTTTCCAGGTGATCTGTGCAGGGTTACCTGCTCCGCTGCTGGATCTGTTAGGCTGGATCCACTCACTAAGTGATACCGGTGTCTCGGCAAGAAGCAACGCAAGCAAGTAGAAGAGCTGCACATGAAGAGCCTGTTACCTGACAGGAATGAAAGAGGGAAATTCTCTCTTACCTCCTTTTTTTTTTTCCTCCCCTGACCATTAGTGCTTTCCTTATCAGGAGTGACTGCATTTGCTGGTACAACCTGCTGCTGCTCACATGGGGTTAATGCTCCCCGGTTTGGGTCACGCAAGCAGCCCGGTGGCCCCCAGGGAACCGGCACGGACCATCTGGCGGGGCACAACCAGCTCGTCTGGGGTGCGGGGCCACCATACACTGACGTGTGCACTCACAGCCCTGAGTCCACCTACAGCTCAAGGCTTAGGCCAGTGGCTTTAATTCACCCTGGCAAGAGCACAGGCTTTTGCTAGAGAAACAGGCCACTTTGCAGAGCACTGTCCAGTGAAACCCTCATCTGGAGAGTCAAAAATTGACCAAAATTGTTTAATAAACCAGCAAGAAAAATGCAAGCACCATAGAATCCTTCCATAGAATCCACACAATTGCTTCACAGCAAGTACCATAGAATCCTAAGACCCCTGAAGAAAACACAAGATGGACCAGGAGCTGCCAATCTGCAAATAACTCCATTATTAGCAGAATCCTCAACAGATCCTGCAGAACTGGGTCCGTAAAGCTCAGGTTCAGCACATGCACAACGACCTCCCGGGGAAAACACATCAAGAAGCGCTTTTCTTTCCCAGAATAAGCCAGGAAGGAGGGAGTTTTCCATGCACAGGTGGGGAACGAGAGGAGGAGCATCCCGCGGCGGTTCGGAACGAGGCCCTGCCGACACCGAGCTGCTCCGCAGAGGAGCGGCAGCCCGCGGCGGTCCCGGTCCGGGCGGCCCGGCCGCGCCTTGCGCCAACGGCGCAGCCAGCGCCATTCACGAAGGGGCCGCGCAGCGCACGCGCGCAGCGCCAGGCGGGAGCGCGCCGCGGCGCCCCCTGGCGGCGGCGGGGGGACACCGCAGCGCTGAGGGGGGACACGGCGACATGGGGACACGGCGACACCGTTCGCCACCCCAGCGGAGCTAGGGGGTCTCTCTGTTGCCCACCCCGCGCCAGGCCGGACCAGCAGCCCGGCACAAAGGGCTCCTGGCCGCCCACAGGAGCCAGGCAGACCCCGCAGTCCTGCCTTGCGGCACACGGGCTGCCCCTGCCTGCTCTGTCACTGCAGGTGTCCCAGCCTTCTTGTCCCAGTGCTTTCTCCAGGAGTTTTCCCAAGTCTCATGTCCTAACGTGGAAATAAAACAAAAACAAAGAAAAAAGCACATAGGAAGAAATGATTTTAAAGAAAGGTGAGCCCTGTAAGTGATGCTATTGCAGATTCCTAAAGCAACTCAAGGAAAAGCCAGGGGAGCAGTGCAGCCCTTCAGCACTGCAGGACACGCTGCCAAGGCTGACAAGCAAAGTTCAGCAGTTGAGCCCTAAGCAGACCCCCCAGGCCCACCCACTCCCATTGCAATCACAGGTGGGCTCAAAGCAGGAATCATGGTGTGTTTTGCTTGGCAGAGGCTCAGCTCAAGTTGCGCTGAGTAGCTGAAAAATGAGGTTGTAAAAATAAAGAAACTAGAAGACTACTAAAAAAAAAATAACCAAAAAAAAAAGTAGACCCTCCTGACCAAGTAAACTCTGGCTCTGTCAGTCACCCACTCTCATGGCTCAGGATTTCAAAGCCTTGAGGGTGATGATGGGAAGAGGCCTCTGCCTCCCACTGGCAGCTCCAGAAAGCTGCCTTGGCTTTGCACGCATAACATTAAACAGCAAAACAACAATTAAACCCAAAAGCACTTTTTTTTTCCCCCCTCACCCTCCCCCCGTCGTTGACAGCCACATCTCTGATATCTTGAGGACAGATTTCTGTTAAAACTACACCTGCAAGTGGGATGAGTTGCACCGCCTGAATCCATACACAGACATACTCAGCATCTCCTGCTCCCAAACCGAGCTCCTCAGAAAGCTAAACTGCACAGTCTCTGTTCTTGGTGTAACCTGCCTGCTGGTATGAGGCTCACACCGAGATCAATCCTGTTCCCTGCTGCTACACACTTCAGTGTGCTCCTACGGCCACAGCCACCCTGGAAGACAACTTGCCTTCTTCAAGACAAATCGCTCTTAATGATTATGCAGCTCCCATTTTGACATCAGTCTTCTAAAAGCGGAAAAACACTGTGTTTCTCCTCGGGTACAGTTCTGCCTGTGGACCATCCGGCTGGAGGCGTTTATGGAGCTGCTCCCATCCCTCGGCCCTGGCAGATGGCTGGGCGAGCACAGCTCCATGTGGTCGGCTGCGCTCCCAAGCACACAGCGTGTCCCCGTAGGTGATGGTCTCTGGGCAACCTGCTCTCCAGGTGACACGGAGCACTGCTTGCAAAGGAAGAATTTGGGGAAAATTTCAAGCAGTTTGGGAAAAAACAGCGTCCGGGCAATTCTAGGGAGGCAGAGGATACTAGAGCTGCTCACACGCCACAGCCTGCAGCAATTACATCCCAGCAGCTGGCAAAGGCCTCACGTTACTTCTCACAATTAAAATCAGCCTCTCCCTCCCTGCGTGAGGGCAGCATGAGCTGCTCACAGATGTAACCAGCAAACCCAACCAGGGGCCTGTTTTTTATGGTACTTTCTGTGAGCACGCTAACCAAACACATGCAAAGAGTGGCAGTGGCCCGACAGCATTTTATATCTGCTCTGTGGAAGCGTAAGTACCTCTATAACATGGAAATCTGCAGTAAGATGGGCCTGCCAAACCAAATCCATCCTTAAAGCAAGAATCCTAAGGCCAACAGCCTTGTAACCTACGGGTAAATTTAGACTATGTGGTAGGATTGAAATCTCAGAGGAGATGTTACACAGACACCGAACAACTCAGTTATTGCGGTCAGGAAGGGAGCTGAACATGGGGTTAGTGCTGGCTGGAGCCTGCAACAGCTCAGATGCTGGAGCCTTGCATTGCCCAGCAAGCTCAGGTCCAGGTTTGGCTGAACTCGTCAGCCACCTTTAACAGTGGATCACGCAGCACAGACACGAGCAGCCACTTATGTCGCGGGGCTCCCGGGTGGGGGGGGCATCATGACCCATCACACAGCCCCAGGCCCTCAGCCACTGCCTTTCCACTCAGGCACTCGCGCGGCCGCCTAGTCGACAGGGGGGCCTCAGCCGCTGCTGGGCGCCGCCATGTTGCGCCACCTCCCCTGTTGGACGCCGCCATCTTGTGCCCTCCCCGCTCAGCGCGGGCGCCGCCATCTTGTGCCCTCCCCGCTCAGCGCGGCGTCGGCCATGGCGGGGCTGCTGTGGCGCCTGCTCGTGTGCGTGGCGGCCGCGCGGGCCACCGCCGCCGAGCTGCTGGCCGAGGAGGTGCGGCGCACCGTGGACCTCAGCACGCACCTGGCCAAGGTCTCGGCCGAGATCGGGCTGGCCAACGCGGCGGGGGGCAGCGCCGCCAGCGCCTTCCTGCTGGCGCTGGAGCCCGGCCTGGAGCCGCATCTCGCCTACCTGGGCGTGCAGGTGAGCGCGGCGGAGCGGGGCGGCCCCGGCGCCCGAGGCCCACGCGTCGGCTCCGCGCGGCGGGGCCCGCAGCGAGGGACACGTCGGCACCGACGGGGCGGCCCCGCGGCCGCTCCCCAACGGCGCTTGAACGCGGGGGGGCTCTCGTCCCATCGGGGTGTCACCTCTGCCCCCCGGGTCCCCAGCTCAGCGCCCCCGTCACTGTAGAGAAATCAGTAAGTCTGGCCGGCTTTGCACTCATACAGGTGGCAGGGGCTCTGCTGGACTGGGAACCAGGCCTAGGGAGTCTCCAGAGGGTTGTCAGCAGCCCCTTTAGCACCAGCTCTTGCACATTAATGCAAGGAGCCATTTCATCAATGAAAAAAGAATGATTAAAGAGTTGTATTTAAAAATAAAGCAGTTCTCCATTAGGTAGTACTTAGTGTGGGTGCATCCCCATATAAAGATGTTAGGGGGTATTTTGCCCCATTCATGTTAGTGCTTTCAAACTGCAGCATACTGACCTGGCTGTTGTTTTGGACCAGGTGAAGGGTGAGGAAGAGGAGGAGAACACCTTGGAAGTGAGAGAGACCAAAGTGAAAGGGAAGAGGTGAGTGTCTGTACCCGGAGCTTGCACATCCACACTGCAGCATCTCCCCTAGAATTGCACAGAAACGTAACCATGGGCTGACATACCTGGAGGCATCCCGGGTTCTCTGGTCTGGAAAGGGGCCAAGCTGTACTCGGACTGCCCTGGGTTGCTGCAGGATTAAGGAACACCATTCACATGGATAATTTAGTCCAGTTCCTGCAGCCCAGGAGGTCAGACTGAAGTCACGGCATTTCCTTAGATGCTCATTCCATAGGACATCATCCACATGGCCGTACGTTTCTGTGTCTTCTCACATCCTTCCAGGGCTGCAGCACAGTGAGAGTCTGGCTAGAGACAGAGCCTCTTAAATGCTGCCTCCAAGAGATTCAGCTGCACTGAATCTCCCTTAAGGAAAGGGCTGACTCCCTCCCCCAGGGAGGCCTTAAATACTGCCCTCTTCCTCATTAAAAGGCCTCAGGTGAGATGCCCATTACAGCTATAGTTGTGCCATTCTCTATTGCTCCCTTTAGGGGGCCCTCAAACAGGCTGCCCTGGTATTTACAGAGATCATAAATGCCCTCTGGACACGTTCCCAGAGCAGGGCTCTCATGTCTAACGTGGGCAATGTTGCTGCATCAGATGTTGGCGCTCTGCATGGGTTGCTGCAGAGAGAGGGTGCTGTCCTTCACCTGATGCTTTGCAGGCAGCGCTGGAGTGTTGTGCACTTGTCTAAATGTGGAACAGGCAGGTGCTTTTGGAGCTGCCTTCAGTAATGCAGTGCAAAACCATACTGGTTTTCTGGCCATACCTTAGTTTTGGATCCTGCTTGTGCACAAGTGATGCTGAGCAGTGAGGGAACAAACTCCCTGGGAGCAGGGAGTGCTTAAGGTGTCTGTGATTTGCCTTCTGGGCATTTGCACATACTTCTCCCATCCAGATCATTATTTTTGTCTAGAAAGCAATGGAAAGACCATGTCAAAGCATACCTTATAGAAACAGAACCGGAGAGGGGAATGTGTCACCATTTCCCTTCCAGAATGGGACCGGATGGCATTGCGAACCAAGGGTCATAATTGTCCCTGAACACTTTTCACCCGTTGTTGCCCCTGTCCTGCTTATCCCAGTCTAGATCAAGCACGTCCTGTAGGACAAGACATGAGCCCCATCACACACCCATAAGTGATACAGAGTCCCCGAAGGGCTCCCATCCACAGGGATTGTCACAGAGGGTGCATTTGACTGCTGTCTCAAGGGAGATGTGGCATTTATGGCTTACCTGCTTTTCTCCCTTCCAGTGGAAAATTCTTCTCCGTGAAGCTGCCATCCCCTTTGGCACCAGGAGCCAAGGTCCGTGTGTCTGTGGAAATGGTTTTCACGCACGTCCTGCAGCCGTATCCCACCCACATAACCCAGAGCGAGAAGCAGTTTGTGGTCTTTGAAGGAAATCACTACTTCTACTCACCATACTTAACCAAGAGCCAAACAACCCGGCTCAAATTGGCCTCCAGGAACGTGGAGAGCTACACCAAGCTGGGCAACCCTTCTCGCACGGAAGACATGATTGAATATGGCCCCTTCAAGGATATCCCTCCTTATAGCCAGGTAAATATCCTTACAAAGAGGCTGCTGTTTGTTGCTTTGCCACAAACATCTTGTAAACATGGGACCTGCATGTCAAGAGACCAGAAAGTGGGAAGTGGAGGCAGACCATGCATGGTTTGGGCAGGGCTATATTTGCAGTGGGGGATTCTGCTGGTGCATCCCCAGTAGCAACGACCCACTGATGATCTCTGTGTGACCTGGGCTGGGTGATTCTTTCTTATCAACCAACACTCTGCAGCAAAGCCTTCTCTGCAGACTTCACCCTTCTAGAGAATCTATCACAGAAGGTCCTCTGTGGAACGCGGAAATAACTAATTGGGAAGAAGTTTGTGGCTAATCAATTATCCTCTCTCCTTGTTAGGACACCCTGAAGGTGCACTATGAAAATAACAGTCCATTCCTGACCATCACCAGTATGACCCGAGTCATCGAGGTGTCTCACTGGGGGAACATTGCGGTTGAAGAGACGGTTGATTTAAAGCACACGGGAGCGGTGCTGAAAGGGCCCTTCTCCAGATACGACTACCAGAGACAGCCAGACAGCGGGATCTCTTCGGTCAAGTCCTTTAAGGTTGACATTTTGTATCTGTAGCTTCCTGCTCTTGTATCCTCAGATGAAAATCCACTTACCCGTCTCTTTTCCCTTTGGTGACTGTACCCAAGTCATGAGGGAACATTAAAGATCTAAAATATTTGCAGAGAAGGCCCATAGGGGATGGGTATAGCTAATGGAGGTACAGGAGGAAGTACAGGTGCTAGGAGGTTACATCTGCTGACCAAACACACTACACTGACCAGGTGGGGTAGTGTCTCTCCACACTCCCACAATCTAGGGGAGTCACCAAAACTCTTATTCCCCTGTGCTGACAGCTCTGCTTCCCTGTACAAGGACCCTTTTTTGTCCTCGCTGTCTTATTTTCCCTGTTGCCCTCTGTTATAATCTCATCATGTTGAATATTAATTAGAAACTCACCTGTTCATTCCTTATTGTGAAGCACTTGGAGTGTTAAAGCTGTAGCTCTGCTAGCCGGATGGGAAAGGTATTTTGTGTGTTAATCTCAGCTGAAACCTTTCTCGCTCCTCGAAGCCTCCAGGACCGCATATTGTAGCTCGCTGAAGCAGCACAGCCAAATAGAAATCTTGTTTTGCTGAGTGCAAAACAGCGAGTTCAAGAAATTAGGAGCAGTGGGCTGGAAGGAAAAAGGAATTGCTGTCCTGACGGGTGTGACGAGATCCCTGCTGTGTGGGGTACTTGCAGCTGGGCTGGGGAAAGTGCTGGATTCCCCCAATCACTTAAAGGCCGAGTAACCTGAGCGCTGGCACTCACTTTTGTTGTTGATTGTTTGTAACAGCACAGTTCTACTTTACACAGCTACAGACAGTGTAACTGCCTGGCCATTTTGTGGTCTGTCCCATGGGAATGACGTTCCTGATGCTTAGCAGCTGTTACTGGTTTTGCCAGCTCTCCTGGAAAGGAGCTGGAGAGCTGATGGACTGTGTGTTGCTTCTCCCCCTGCAGACTATTCTCCCTGCTGCTGCTCAGGACGTGTATTACCGCGATGAAATTGGAAACATCTCCACCAGCCACCTCCTTGTCCTGGATGACTCCGTGGAGATGGAGATCCGGCCCCGCTTCCCGCTCTTTGGGGGATGGAAGACTCACTACATCATCGGCTACAACCTGCCAAGCTATGAGTATCTCTACAACCTTGGTGGGTGGCACAGCAGAAGGGAATAAGAAACTCTCTTTTCTGTGTTGTAGGGTGGTTGTAGTACAGTGAAGGACTTGACCGTTTGACTCACACCTTAACAACAACAGTGGTTACGTATTGTTTTTAGAATATGCAAACCCATCCCTCTGTTCTGTGTTTACTTCAGGATTTTGTAGACTTCTGGTTAAAACATACTTGAGTCAGCTAGTACCCTGTGCTGTATGATACATCCATCCTTCATTCTGCTCATCCATGATAATACATCCATGTTTCATTCTGTTAAGAACAGTATCTCAGTGTTGCCCCACGTTCTTCCGGGAAGTGTAACCTCTCCCTGGTTTGTGCTCTTAGGTGATCAGTATGCCCTGAAGATGAGATTTGTAGACCACGTTTTTGATGAGCAAGTTACAGACTCTCTGACTGTCAAGATCATCTTGCCAGAAGGTGCCAAGTAAGTGTCATTACTGCTGGCTCATTACTGCCAAATAGAGGATGTTAGTGCCAATCCTTTTGTGTACTTAATGCCCCGAGGACAGTGAAACAAAACCACTGGCTGTGAATACAGAGGAAACCTTGGAGCACTACCTTGTTTCCTTTTAAAGGGATGTTTAAACTGCATAATTGGCTCCATGCTAGAGGCCACAGTTGACCAGCCAAGTTTTGAATTGCTTCATCTCAAATAGCATAAGAGTCATGTCAGACTGGCTTTATCCATAGGAATATCCATGTGGACAGCCCCTATGAGATCAATCGTGCTTCTGATGAGCTCCACTACACGTACCTGGACACTTTTGGACGCCCCGTTATTGTGGCCCACAAGAGCAACCTGGTGGAGCAGCACATTCAGGACATTGTGGTAAGTCATCGTGGTGAGCCTCTCTTTGTCTGGTTTGCCTGACAAGCTGGGCCTCCTGTTTCCATCAGCACCTCTCATGCTTCGTGGCCAGTTCCACTGGGAGAGGTTCTCTGCCATAGTGACATGGGTCATTTCTCAATGTCTCAATCTTCTCTTCTAGGTTCATTACACCTTCAACAAAATCCTGATGCTGCAGGAGCCTTTGCTGGTGGTTGGAGCCTTTTATATCTTGTTCTTCACTGTGATTGTCTACGTGCGGCTGGATTTCTCCATCACTAAGGTGCTGTATGATGAAAAGCCCTTTGGGAACATTAATAGTTCACTCATGCAGTAGCTGGAGATTTTTTTAACCAGTAGTTTTTCCCTCTGAATATTGATGGTGAGTAGGTATCCATCTGGATGCTTGAAGGGAGCCCTTTTTTCTACCATGCCTGAGCACTGATATTCCTCTGCAGGGTTTCAGTTGATGTTTTAAGGCTAATCTGAGTTTTGTCTTCTAGATAAAGCCCATCCCTGAGAAGCAGAGCCTCTAGAGCTGCTTGCTAGGTTAGCTTAAGTGCAGCGCTTGCCCTAGTTGGTCCTTGAACAAGACACGTGTATCATTTATTGATTGCAGTCAGTTGAGCTAATTGCAAAGGGAGCCATTTCCCTAATAGCCCCGTGCCAAACTGTAAACATGGCTTGAAGTAGATCAAGGAGGTGATTGTGCTGATCTTCCATTCTCTCCTCTTGCAGGATCCAGCTGCTGAAGCTAGGATGAAGGTTGCCTGTATCACAGAGCAAGTTCTAACTCTGGTAAACAAGAGGCTTGGGCTCTATCGTCACTTTGATGAAGCGGTGAATAAGTACAAGCAGTCACGGGACATCTCCACCCTGAACAGCGGCAAAAAGTCTTTGGAGACAGAGCACAAGGCCCTGACAAGTGAAATAGCCTCTCTGCAGTCTAAACTGAAGACAGAAGGCTCTGATTTATGTGATAAGGTAAGAAATGTATTTTTAAAGGTCTGCTTTTCTTGGCTCTATTAAGTATTCTAAGTCAGTTTTAATTTGTGGTTTAGTTTCTTCAGTCCGTATCTTTTTTTTTAGGCCTCAGATTACATTTTTTCCCTGGAAGGTGTAAAATTCCATTTATTCTGTTGTTTCCCCCCCCACCACCATTTGCCGTAATCTTGGCTACGTAGCCCTCTGGGTGTTGTTAGAAACAGCACAAGCAGCTGTTCACTAAAACATCAGTTAAGCAGCGGTGTGGGTACACATCTGTAATGGTCCTAAAGCTTGTCATTGAACTCATGGCAGTGGCATTTAGGTAAGAATAGAAGCCATCGACACTATCTCTTCTGACTCTGCTAATCAAACTCACCACACCAAAGTCTTCTCCCTAATCCCATAGTTTCTTGCACACGTGAATTTGATGCTGGCAGCTCCAGTAACGTGCTGCTTCCCAGGGGATTTTGCTGTACTGTGTGGAAAGCTGTGGCATGAGGGTGCTCACTCTGCTCTTCGCTTTACACTATCTATTTTAAGACGTACCTGGAACAGACAGCTAACTGCAAGCGGGGACATGCCAATCTCCAAGGTCCATTCAAGGCACAGCCTCCTTGCTCACTCTGTTACTGGCTAGAGGAGTAGATCTGTCGCTGTGGACAGCAGCCCTTGTTCTCACACACCATTACCTTCACTGCAAGAAGGACACAGCTTCGTGGTAGCTGTGATGTAGCTGAAAGCCTTTCAAAACCCACTGGTAACACCAATCAACAGCCATTGCACCTCTCTCCTGCTCATGTAGCTCCTGGTGTCTCAGACCCCTGCTTAGTTACCCACTTGCAAGTTGTTCCTCACAACACAATGACAGAGAGGTGGCAGCTCAGGAGGCCATAGGCAGACAGGAGATGTTCCTCTTACCATTGATGTTCCTCTTAACACTGATGGCTCAGTGTTACTGTCCCAGCTTCACTGTAGGGATGATTTTTGAGTCATCACATTCCGTTTGTTTCTCACTCCTCTCAGGTGAGTGAGATCCAGAAGCTCGACAGCCAAGTCAAGGAGCTTGTTCTAAAGTCCTCTGTTGAGGCGGAGCGGCTGGTGGCAGGCAAGCTCAAGAAGGACACGTACATCGAGAACGAGAAGACGCATTCCAACAAGCGCCAGGAGCTCGTCACCAAGATCGACAACATTCTTGACGCTTTGTAACGCGGTGGGTTAGTAACTGGGAGAAGGGAGGGATGCAAACAGAGCTCAGAGGCCTGGGAGTGGACACACTTTGAGCCAAAACTAGTAATACTCCTTCCCAGCAAAATGGGAAAATAATTCATGTGAAAAAAGGTCTGCAAGTAAATTTTGTTTTTAGATTCTTTCAAAGAGCCTCAGCAATATATGCTGTGCAAGGGACCATGATGTCTTGCTTTTGGGTGGATAACGGGGCTTCTGGAGGCGAGACACAGCGAGGTTATAAAATATTCTGCTTTTGTTTGTCCCTGTGCAGCTGTGCTCTTACACACGGCCGGACAGAGCACAGACGTGCTCATGGCAAACCCCAATGTCACGTCCAGAAGGAATAAAGATGATTTTGTTTTAAAGGCTTTGGAATAAAACAGCGGCCGCCCCTTGTATTTGAGCTAAGTGGTGGGTGGGCAGGGTCCACAGCAGCAGGGCCGGGGGGAACCAGCCTGGAATGGGATCCCGGCCCGGCCTGCAGTGGCAGCACTGGTACCGGGGTGGGGAGCGGGGTCTTGGCAGTCCCCGGAACCAATGTGTGCTGGTGCTGTTCCCGGGGGAGCAGAGTTCAGCATAGGACTGGTCCCCCACTGTCGCGTTTCCCCCTTGGCTTTGCCTCTTGGTACGGGCCAAACCCGGGCCCGGGTCTAAGGGAGGCCGGTCCGGGTTGTGCGGGGGGACCGGATCGGAGCGGGCCGGGCGCGGGGAGCGGGCCGGGCGCGGTGCCGCCCGCTGCGGCCGCGGTTTCCCGCCCGCGGGCCGGGCCGGGCCGCTGAGGCGCCGCCTGGGGGCGCCATCGTGGTGCGCGCGGCGCATGCGCGGAAGGAGGGGACGCGGGGCGGGGGAACGGGGCGCGGGTTCGAGTCCCGCTCCCGGCACCTCGGGGGGTCCGGGGTGTCCTGCGGTTCGTGCCCCGCACGGAGCCGGGGCAGCCCTGGGCAGCGCGGGGGAGGAGGAATTTTAAAATGAGGCAGCAATTCAATATCTTGAATTTTAAAATGTGGCAGCAAATACAGGAGACCGGAAGCAGTTGGGGTAATTAGGTTATAGCCTCTTTCTGTTCCCTGATGTGATTCTGCTTTTCACCTGCCTTGAAGAGCAGGAGACAGATCTGTTTGTGAATTTGGTGAGGGCAGCATGCTCACCAAAGGAATTGGAGGTCACCTGCAAACCAAGCCAGGCACCTGTAACTGCAGAGAGATCCAAGCCACTTCCACACTAGGATTATCACTAGATCCAGTCTCAGCTCTCCCCAAAGGGTGGCTGTTGTGCAGGACCCTTGTGCTGGTGCCTGAGGAGGTATTTGCCCCCAGGAGCATTTAAGGTGTCATTTGAACAGCACAGACCTGCTGCCACAACTAAAAGGCCATGCGAGGAAGGAGAGCCCCATGGCTTCACCAGCCACATGGTGGCAGAGCCCCATCCCATTTTGAAGTCCTGCTTTCATGTCCCTAATTACTCAGAGTCTCATCCCATACCGTGCAGTATGCCCAGCCTGGCATTGCCCTTCTCTGGCCCAAGCGAGGTGCTGAGTGACAGGGGCACAGGGAGAACATTCGGCCAAGGGTTTCTCAATCTGCCCGACGTGACCTTGGCATCACTGGGGGCCCGGCAGCCCTGAGGCTGCAGCTCATCCCCTGAGCAAACTGGTGCTCATGGCAGGGCTGGTGGGCAGGGGGTTGTTCGCACCGCCACCCTCAGCCCTCTTGGCCCCTGCCCAAAGGGGTGACTCTCACAGCAGGGTTTGTCCCCAGGTCTGGGTGGCCTCTGTCATCCCTAGGCATATAAGTTTTGGTCCAGGGGGTGATAGAGCCCCCAGGTGCCAACGGGGATCGTGCCCAGACAGGGCAGGGAAGCAGGGGGAAGGCCTGATCACACGGATAGCCAAGGCCAGCCCATCATGGTCCAGACAGGGAGATAAAAGAGGCCCCCCTGTTCCAGGTGTGGCTGGGTGCAGAGTGTCCGGGCAAGCAGCACAGTGTCTCAGACTGGATCCGGTGCCTTAGGAACTGCAGGAGATCTGTCCAACACAACAACAACCCCCCAGTGCTGCTGTCTCAAGGAAGAGCAAAGTCTTCCCAGGCTCTTTCGGGAGGCTTTTCTGTTTTACAGAGAACACAGACAGCATGAAACTCCCCTGGCCACGCAGACTCCGAAGTGGTTTTGTTGGGCACATTTTGATGACAGGCATCTGACCACGTTGTCTTGCAAGAACCAGCTCCTTCCCATCACCAAAAGCTCCCCCTTGCAATGGGGTGGGTGAATGGGCACCGTGCCCAGACCCATGCGTGTCCCCGGCCTCTCTGATCCCTGCTGAGATGCTGTTGGGAGCCCTGATACAATGAGCCCTGCCTGAACAGGGTGTGGACAAAAACAAACCAACAAACTGCTAGAAATCAAACAAACTTCCATGAATCCCTGGAACAAAACACACACGGGACACGGGGTGGCCCTGGGGGCATCTGAGGGCAGCTAGGACTTTCCTGTTGCATTTGGTGTGATGCAAGAATGTCCAGGAGAGGAGAAGGCATCAAACTGCTGCTCTCAGAGACACCCTTAATTTCCAGACTGGAAATTAAGTCTTTTTTTCCACTTTTGCTGGGGAAAGGCAGCGTCACCCTCCCTTCCACAGGCCCCTGGTGTGCAGCTTCCCTGGCAGCCCTGCAGAGCTGATTCCAGCTGCACACGGGTGCCCCAGGCACCCACCACACAAAGCCCATGGCAGGGACAGAGCCTTGTTGTGTCACAACAGCACATTTTTCAACGGGATTACAAAGTAGGCTGGAAATGCACATTCTGTGACACCCCCAGGGTGAGCTTTGTCCCCAGCAGGGTCCCCAAGCCTCATGCCTGCTCCCTTTTTAACCTTGGGCAGCAGCCTGCAGCAACAGATGCATCAGGGAACCCCTGCAAACAGCCACAGCAGAGCAGCCTGGAGAGCAGCACACCTCTAGGAGTCCTGCAGCTTTGCTCCTGAGAATAAACTAGAAAGGTAAAAAAAGAAAAAAAAAATACAGCACATACCAGGAAATCAGAGCCTGCAGGAGCTGGGAAGAGCCAGAGCAACAGCAACTGATCAGTCAATTGGGGCCACAGCTGCTGGTCTCTGCTGTATTTAAAGGAGGGCAGCCACCCACCTGAGGGAGAGAGGGTTGTTCTGCTTTCAGGAGGGTCCTCTGGTATTGCCAACACCTGGTCTGTATTCACCTGACTGTGCAGAGCCATGTGTCATAGGGTGCAGCGAACAGCGCTCCACGGGCAGCAGGCACCAGCGCCCCGGCCTTCGGAGCCGCGCTGAGCTTCACACATCACCATATCCCTGGCTCCTGGGTTCCCATCCCAGCACTTTGCCATTTCCAGGTGTCCCACAGAAACCCACGGCTGGGGTCAGCCCACACATCTCAGGGTGTCCTCCCTTGCCCTAAGCCTTAGCGCTCTCTAGGAACAGAAAGGAATGTAGGTTTTTATATTAAGCAATCGCATGGCTTTGGAAAGCTCCCTAACCTGCTGCCAGCCTCTCATGCGCTTGAGGAGAGAGGAGGCGACAGGACCAGCAGGAAGGGCTCCTCTGGACGCTGCAGGGCTGCCGGGAGGGGACCGGGCTGTGTTTGCATGGTCAGGTCACTGCTGGCAGGCCAGAGGATGCTGATGGGGAGAAACCCATCGGAGCCCCACACATTGCCCCACTGGGGATGGATGCCATGGATGTCAACGTCTCCAGCAAAGGAGCTGCTGCTGCCTCCCTGCACATGGGGTCCTTGCTCCTCTGCTGTCTCTGACCCACATCCCACCCTGCACAACCCAACTCTCCCTTCCTGGGCCAGGGACAAGCTCTCTCTCCCAGGACCTGCAGATGTTTTCCAGGGATCCTTCCCGCTTTTGGTGCGGGAGGAAGAGGAGGGTGCCTGGCAAAGGGCCTGCTCGCAAGGGCTGTGCTGGGGAGGAGGAGGGTCGTGTCAGGGCCTTGAATAATCACCTCCAGCAGCACTGGCGAAACTGGGAGCTGCAGAAGCGGATGGCAGAATCCTCGGGTGTGCGTCCGAGGGACACGCGCGTGCCCAAGGGAGAGCGTGCGGCACAGGGAGCTGCGGGAAGCGCCCCGAGGACACGGGTGGCACCTGCGGGGACATCATAGGACAGCGGCCACGTCCTTCCAGGGCTCCCTGCTGCCCTCTGGACCCGCTCCCGTGCACCGAGGGCTCCCTGCTGCCCTGCACGTGGCCTCTGTCCCGGGGGTCCCACACGGCCAGGAACGGCTCCCGGTATCCCCGGGACACGGCAGCAGCACCATGTAGTGACTGCGGAGCGGCCACGCAGGAGCTCCACGCACTGCTGGCTGATCCGGGCACCCAGCGGCATCCCAGGTGCCGGCGGCCACCAGGCCAGGGATGACACCGCACGTGGTGGCCGTGCGCAGCCCCGGTGCCGGCACAGACACCGCGGGGTGGCCTTGGCGTCATGGGGCCATCACAGGAGCTGCCCGATGCTCGCGGCCGTCGGGACCCCCACGAGGCCAGCGGCCTCTCCACCGCCACCACCGGAGGCCGACACCGGGCACCAGGCCCATGCGCCCCGCCATGGCACCATGCCATTGGCACCGCCACCATCACACGGGGGGACCGATGGCACCCAGCCGGCCCATGCAAGGCAGCACTGGGCACCCAGGACACTTACTACTCCCTCACTTCTTCTGCCCTCGTCCAATTTGTCTTGGCGACTGCAAGACACTTGGCGCACTTGACACTTTGTCACTTGGCGCAAACCCCGGGTGACAGCGCCCGCCCTGCACGGTTTTACCACAGTATCCTGCAAAAGGCATCTGGCGAGCTGATAGTGCAGGGGGTTCCGGGCGGGAGGCGCTGCCGGAAGCGGCGGCCCGGCGGCGGTTGAGGACCCGACGCCTCCGCCGGGCCAGCAAACAGGAAACTTCCCCGCGGCTCCGCTCCGGGGCCGCCCGGGAGCCGCCGGCGCCGCCGGGGCCGTCGCGGGACCCTCCGCTGCCCGGCCCCGTGGAGCCGCCGAGGCGCCCGCTGCTGCCCGGGGCGGCCGGTGGCATCGCGTCTCCATGCGGGAAGCTCCGCCAGGGCATCGGGACGGTGCCAAGGGCTGCGCGGCCCCTGCGGGCCGCGGCGGCCTCGTGCCGGCGTCGGGCGGGCACGTGGCGGCGAGCGGCGCCGGGCGCAGAGCTCGGCCCGGCCAGCAGGGACGCGGCTGCGCCGCCACCGCCAGCCGTTAACGCGAGTCACCGTCTCCGCGGCCGGCCGCGCTGCAGGGGCGGCCGGCGGAGCGGCCGCGCGC